TTGTAGGCCATGATAAGGACTTTGGCTTTTATCCCAAGAGGTTTAAAAAAACACAATGGTATATTATTTGTATCAAAAGCTGGCAACATCCAGGGAACATTCAGGTTACAAAAAAATGTTCTATGCCCTTGGTACAGATGAGCCCGGAGGTTCACAGCTACAGGGGTAGTATGTGGTTGCGTCAGGATCAGAATCTAGGTCTTTCCAAAGAGCTTTCTCCACCCTGGATGCCACTGGGAGGGTGGCAGGGGGGTGAGACAGGCGGGGAGGCCAGGAGACTCTCTAGGAGGAGGCCAAGGAGGCCCCGTGCGCCGGGCGGCAGCTCAGTGCCCAGCAGCAGTCCTGGCGGAAGCGGCGCACGAAGAAGCATCAGATGAGTGGGTCCAGGAAGCTGTTGAGGCTCAGCAGCGCCAGGCTGAGGGTGTGCAGGATTGTCAAGCGTGGAGGCGGCGCGACACCGGTCTCCGTCGCTGTCCCGCCCGGCCACCCTGGGGGCCAGCAGCACGTGGTAGGGGGCCAGACTGAGGGCGAAGACCAGCAGGAGCCCCAGGACTATGGTCTTGGCCGCGCGCGGGTGCGCGCCGGCGCTAGCAGGGCCCGGGCCCGAGGGCGCCTGGAGCGCCCGCGCCAGGCTCACGTAGGCCGCGAGCACCAGCAGGAAGGCGGCCGCGAAGAAGGCCACCGTGACGGAGGCCAGCCCCGAGCTTGCCCAGCGGTGCTCCTGGCAGGGAGGGGCCAGGCCCGCCAACCAGGCGAAGGCGCAGGCAGTGCGCGCGGGGCGCCGGCGGCGCAGGCCAGGCAGGCAGCCGCCCCGGGCCTGGGGCCGCGTACGGAGCAACAGCGGCACACGCTGATGAGCGCGGCGAAGACCACCGCGTAGGTGGACACGTAGTAGGCGGCCCCAGCCACGCGGCAGGCGGCCTCCGGGCCAGGCCCAGGTAGTAGATGAGCCACGGCTGCAGCGTGAGCGTGAAGAGCTCATCAGCCAGAGCCAGGTTGAACAGGTAGAGAAGCAGGGCCTGGCCCAGGCGCCCGCCGCTGCGGATGAACACTGCCAGGGCAGCCACGCTGGCTGGCAGCCCCAGGCCCAGCGCCAAGGCATAGGCCGCGGGCACCACGATGAAACGAGCAGGGTCATCCCAGAGGCTGCAGCCGCCAACACCCAGGTCCCCAACACTGCTGTTCATCTCTGACCTTGATGTGACAGAGGAAAGGTTACTGCGGCGGCTAGCCACAAAGGCAACCCCCATTCCACCTTCTCCCACCCCAATCTCCTCTTCTTCAGCCCTTGCGGGGAGGGGGCACTAGAGGCAGAGTCCATGTGAGAGGGAATGAGGACCGAACCTGGCCAGCAGCTGCTGAGAGGGGATGGACTCCGGAGTTTTTGGTGACAAGCTGTGGGAAGCGAGGAAGAGGCAGGAGTCCTAGATAACTTGGAAATTTCCAACCTTGGTGACTGAGAGGGTAGAGGTGCCCCTCACAGATAGAGTATGGTTCATACATGTTGGGGCACAGACCTGTGCAGTAAACCCACATAGGGCTGAGCCAACAGGGAGTTCTGCAGAAACAGGTTGAAACGTAGAGGCCTGTCCAGAAAAAGACCCAACTCCCTCGTCCCTGTGCCACCCAGATGAGAAGCATGGATGGAGGAATGGGCTTGTGGTGCAGTGACCCATAGGATAGGCCTATGCACAGTGACCTCGGACTTGCCTTGGTGAAGGTCCTCTCCCAGGGAGGTACCTCAGCACTTGCCTGGAGCACCCTTGGCTGGGCTGAAAAGCTTTTGCCACTCTGAAGCCTTCCATCCTTTTTCCTCCCCCCTCACTTTTTGACCACAAAGAAGTCCTGGGTCAGACTCAGACCTCTGGACAGAAAAGCAAAAAGTGCACAGGCCCAGCAATCAGGCAGATTCTAGATACACACATCAATTTGCCATGTGACCTTGGGAAAATTACTCAGCTTCACTGAGCCTGTCTTTGCTGCAGTAAAATGGAGATTAAAATACCTACCTCACAGGGTTGTTGGGAGGATTATGAGAAAACATAAGTAAAACTGAGCCCTGTGGCTGACATTGGGGAGATACTTCATTACTGTTAGCTCCCTTCCCTTCTAGGCAGCACATAGATAAATGTGTACACTCACACAGGCACACACAGAGTGTCAGAGACATAGACACCCCAGGCACACAAAACAACACAAAAACGTCTGGGCATATTCCTATCCTCTTCCCAAGGGAGGTAAGTGTACAAATCAATGTCCTGTTACTATTTGTGACACACTTACACACTCCTAGGATGTCCTAAAACTCAGTTCTTCCAAAATCTGGATTTTTGCCTTTGAGCATCTCAGGCTCCAATCCTTTCTGAGACCCCGGGTAACTGTATTTCCTTTCCCCACTTCCTCTGTTCTGTTCTCCATGCCTGTAGCCCTACCCTGACCCATCCCCTGCCATCCTCCCAGATTGTTCCTTTCTTACCTCTTGCTATAGTGGCTGCTGGAGTTCTCTCTGGGGTCCTGACTTTAAGGATCTGAGACAGGGCAGAATCCCCTCCCACCCACACATCTCAGACCCTCCCATCGGCCAGCTAATCCCAAGAAACCACATGAAGAATGGGTCTGACAGCTGGAAGGGCTGGAGCCCACCTGTGGCACCTGTGAGCTGGGTTTCTGGGGCTGCAGTCAGGGCCCCAAGGGAAGGGAGTGTCATCGGAGGACAAGAGAGCCTTCAGCACAGGGAGGGAGATACAAATGCATTAGGAAGGGCAGGCAGCTGAACATCATCGTGCTGAGATGACCTAGATTTAGGCTGTAGTTTGGGGGTCACATTTCCTGAGGCCCGGCTTCTCCCTGGGCTGCTAAGGAGGCACCGCTTAGGCTCAAGATCCTCCTGCTGCTGTCAGTCCCAACTGCTGGTACACATCAGCTGCCCAGCCTACTCCTCTAGCACCCTGACTTTCCTGTAGCTGCTGGGCAGTCCTACAGCCAAGCTTGGGGGCCCCAGTAGCTGCTTATCAGCCTATAGATCCAGATTTGGTAAACAGGAGCCCTCAATCTAATGCTAGCTGCGAGAGGTTTTACTCAAAGTCTGTCCCGGCAGGAGACGGGCTGGCAGTGGCATCCTGGAAGGGGTGGAGAAAGTATAAGGCCAGGATCCTTGGGGCTCCAGGCTTTACTTTCTTGGGCTTCAAAATTTCCAAGCAAGATGGGCACAGTGGCTAATGCCTATAACCCCAGCAGTTTGGGAGACCAAGGCGGGCAGATCACCTGAGGTCAGGAGTTCGAGATCAGCCTGGCCAACATGGTGAAACCCCATCTCAAAATAATAATAATAATAATAATAATAATAAATAAAAAAAATTCCAATCAGAGGGGAAATGCTGGAAAGCAGGACAGATTTCATCACACCAGACAGGTCATCCCATCTACCCTCAGATTGAAGACAGCAGGGCTGCCATGCCTGTCCATTTTCAGCTTTGGCAGCTAGTACAGTGAAAAGTTTGGGTTCTGGAATCAATTAGGCCTTAGTTCTAGTTCCAGGTCTCATATATAGGCACTTAAGCTTTCCAGATGCATTTTCTCAACTGTAAAACAAATCAATATTTAATAATGGCTAGCATTTACTCAACATTTACTACGTGCCGGGCTATGAAATAGTTACTGTCATTATTCAGTTTTCAAATAAGCTAGTAAGTGACAGAAACCATTGTCTACTTCCTCTTCTTCCTTGCTGACCAGTGTGGGTAAATCTTAACTAGTCTAAGTCCATTATGGGAATTCCATTCTCCTGCCAGTGATTAGGAATGGAAATGGGACATAGTTCTGCCCAGTGAAATCTACGGGAAAATCTAGGGTCTTCTAAAGCACCCTTCCTCTCTTTTCACCTTTCAGTATTATAGCAAATGCACTATCCGGAGCTGCTGCAGCTATTTCGCAACTCTGAAGGCAATAGCCAATACACTGACAGCAGCAGAGCAGACAGTTTAAAGAATGTTGATTCTTGATGTCATCATTAGGCAAATTAACCAGCATTGAAACTGAAGTGGTTATCTCTGAACCTCTTACATGAGAGAAAAGGTTTCCTTATTGTTTTGACATTACCATTTATTTAGCGTAATCTATCCTTACTATAGGCAGACTGCACCACCATGCTTTCGGACTCAAGAATAAAAAAAATCCAACTGAGAGCGTCACCTTGCCTGAGGTTCACTAGTCAGAATGGGAATTAGCATTTTGTAGTGAACATGAAATGGAGTAATAAAGACTTCTTTTACACCCTCAAAGCAATCTGTAGGCTGATAGCTAGAATATTTGCATAAGTGAACTGTTTCTCACTATGATCCCTCATGGGAGGTACATCACTTCCCAAAAGCCCACAGCCCTGCCTAGCTAAGATAAAGATGGTGGTGACATAATAGCAGATGCCCTAACGTGTTGTCCACTTTTCCCCCAAGAACTGTCACACATATGCACCCTTCCTACCCCCAAGGACCTCTGGGATTCCTCCCAGGCTTTGGGCCCTGCTGTACCACTCAGCATTTCACGGAGTTGGCTGTCCCTCACCTCCATGTAGGGGTCAAGGAACACTGGACTGGGTGCCACACATCACCACCAGAGCTTGATTTCAGGTCCTGTCAAATGACTCAATGCCAACCTGCTAGCTCTGCAAATCTAATATGTCAGAGAAAAAAAGGAGTGGGAGGGAATCTCTAATGTGGCTCAAAGGGCATAGGCAGAAGCAAGTACTTAAAGTTCTGCCATACAGAACCTGTACATTTTAAATATGTATTAAAAGCCTTAAAAATATGCATGTGTTTTGAACCAGCACCCTTACTTCTAGGGGAAGAAAATAAGTATGCAAAAGAGATTTACTGTGAGGCTTACAATAGCAAAAAATTGAGAAAAACCCAAATGTTCCTCGTGGGGGGTGAAATACATTATAGTACATCCTTACAATGGAATACTATGCAGCCATTAACAGCAATGAGGCAAAAGAGACATGAAACAGTGTTATAGTTTATAAGGTTTTAAAAGGAGGGAATAAAATAGGATATATGGTTTTATTTTCATTTAAAAAAATATGTATCTGCTTAAAGGCACAGAAAAAAGTTCAGAGGTATACTAACACCAAGGCATTAAAAGTGGTTATTTGGGGCATCAGAATTTTGGTTGATTTAAATTTCTTTTCTGCTTATTTTGTATTTTCGTATGACATGAGGAATGTTAATATGCATAACATGTACTCCTCACAAAAGAGTAGTAAAGCTAAAAAGAGAAAGTAGGGCCAGGTAGGCAAAATGTCTCTTTCAACACTGGCTGACCCTGGATATTATACTGGTAACAAGATGACAGACTCTGTGTTCTACCATATTTCTGCTGTGACAGCTGCACGGCATAAACAGGCAGAGATGCTCTACTTCCAGGATTCCTTGAATGTACTTAAGAGTCTTCTTCCTAGTGGGTCTGACCACCTTCTTAGTCTGGGCTAAGAGCTGGCCGACATTCAGCAGCAGCAGGAACCCCAGGCAGACGATGGCCGGGATACAGGTGCTTAGTGACTCTTTTAGAGCTGCCAAGGTGAAGATAGCCCCTGGAATGGAAAGTGAGGTCCCTGAGGCTCCTTGGGAGAACCCAGGAGATCCAGGAGCTCAGGGCTCTCCAGTTTAGGCTGATCCACTCCAGCCCAAGCCCTCCCATTAAACACCCTCACCACTCCCAACGTGCATTACCAAAACTAACTGCATTCATCTCTAGCCTCCTGGAGAAAGCAGGACCAGGAAATTAGAAGCCTCTTGAACAATAGCAGTGGCAACAGTTGCCCCTCTCGGAGGACAAGAAAGAAACAGAAATGACCCAGCAAAATAGGGCAGTGGCTAGAGTGGATAGATTTTAGGAAAAAAATCTCCCTGATCCTTCTTTCTTTCCTCTTTCTTTTTTTCTTTCTTTTCTCTTTCTTTCTTTTCTTTCTCTCTTTCTTTCTTTTTTAAGGCAGAGTTTTGCTCTGTCCCCCAGGCTGGAGTGCAATAGCATGATCTCCTGCCAGCCTCCTGAGTAGCTGGGCTACTGGGTTCTGGGTACTGGCTTCAAGTGATTCTCCTGCCTCAGCCTCTTGAGTAGCTGGGATTACAGGCGCCCGCCACCACGCCCAGCTAATGCTTGTTTAGTAGGGACGGGGGTTTCACCATGTTGGTCAGGCTGGTCTCGAACTCCTGACCTTGTGATCCGCCCACCTCGGCCTCCCAAAGTGCTGGAATTACAGGCGTGAGCAACCGTGTCTGGCCCCTTCTCCTTTCTTAATCCTACATCTACTAAGATTAAGATGGAGGGAAGGACTAGCCCAGCGGCTGCTGGTTGGAGGTATGGGAAAGATCTGAAAATGAGAGAAGCTCCAGAGATGGAAGCAAGCCTGGTAGTGGTGGCAGCAATGGTAACAGATGCCAGGGCATATAGAAGAGCCTGAAGATATCTGGCCTTTGAAGCAACAGCTGTCTTTGTACATCAGCAGTTCCTGTGGACAGAGCTACTGGTGGCGGGCCGGGAGGACTCCCTCGGGAAATTCTCTGCCTTCCTGTTCAAGGTTCTCCAGCTTCCCTGCTCTCTACACCAATCTGCCAGACACATACATCAAATGGCAGCTGCTCCTCCATCCCCTCATCCCAGAAGTGGGTGTGTGGAGGAAGGAGCAGAGGCACTGCGCTTGCAATACATCTTCACAAGGGAATACCATGCAGCCATTAGAATTGAGGAGGTAGAAGGTACACTTAACATGTGATAATGTTCTAGCATATTAAGTTTAAAAAGTACCTGTGCTAGTTTGAAGACCATGGAAACTGTAGTAGAGCAGGAAGTGCTCTTGATCCCAGAGAAAAAAGAAGGGTGGCAACAGTAAGGGGCAACAGCCAGGTCTTTCCATCATCCTCCCCCAGAAAACCCCATTTTCTCAGGCCAGTTGGCCCCCTTACCCATCATGAGCAGAATCAAGAACAAGTTACTGATCTCTTGCAGCATCGGTGGGCCCGCGGCCAGCAGCAGCCCAGCCAGCAGTTCCAGAAAGCCCACAGCTATTTGGTAGTTCAGGGGATCTGGCTGGTAGCCAAATACCTTCAGCGGGAACACCTCAGCAAACTGCACGAACAGGGCGTTCTAGGGGTGGCAAGGAATGCCTGTCAGCCTCATGCTCACCAAGGAGGAGCTCCCCAGATGCTCCATGGCATATCTATGCCTGTGCCCTCAACTCCCCAGAGAAAAGAACTACTACTGTAGGTCAGGTCCAGGCCTGAGGTCAGCCTGGAGGGGAGAGGGCTGCCCTGTGGCGCTGAGCTTTGGAATCAGGAAACAGGCTCCATGTTCCAAGTGGTACAGAGATAGATTTTCTCACTAGACCTCTCGAGAGATTACAACCCAGGCCAAATCCCAGGAGGAGGGGGCTGAGCTTGGCTCCCTAGTGCCAAGGCCTGGGGAATGCCACAGTTTGCTTCTTTGTGCCTGGCCTGGTTTCTCTTAAGGCTGTTGTACAGGGAATATTTGGAGGTGGGGAGGAGTTAGGTGGGCTCAAAGTGACTCTTCTTGTCAAGGCAGGTCCACCCCTGAGCCAAATGGCAACTTCACCCTTACTTTCGGGGTTACTTTTTCCTGTTCCCACTCCTCAGCTCTACCTCCCCTCCTCAGCTCTGCTGGGCAGCAGCTCTAAACTATCGTCTCTGGGGATGTATCCAGGCCTTGGAGAGAGATGCCAGCAGGGGTCTACAAGTCTAGCTCTTTTGAGGGACTGGGGAGATTGGTGAACAGGAAATGAAAGCTTTCCCGTGAGTCTGGAACTAGACAGAAGGCTGAAAGACGACTTCAGGGCCTCCCTCTCAGGCTTCCAGGAGAGGCTTCCCTTTCTGGGTTCCGAGTTAGGAGTGACTACTTTGTGTCCTGCTTCCTGACTAGATGTGCAACCTTTAGCAGATACACTCGCCCTTCAGGGCGGGCTTCCTTCCCTGCAAAGCCAGGATTACTACACCCCAACCCCACGAACCTCCCGAAAACTGAAGCAAACGGCGAAAAGGGGGAAGACAGCGCGGAGTGAGCTCATTTTCCCGCTGCATCATCCTCTCCCAGGGTCCGGGGAGTGGGGAGGAGGGTCCTCCTAAGGCTGTAGATTTGCCTGGGGCCACCAATGCTCAGCAGGAAGGGGAGGTTCTGTCCCCTTCCGTCTAGGGAAGATCCAGAGAACTCGAGGAACTCCCCAGGAAGGACCTGCGCCTCAGTCGAAAGCCAGGCGCTTTCCCCCATCTCCAGCTGAGCCTCGGAAGCCCGAAGGCAGCCTGCCGGGCCGGCGGGAGCGGCGGGGCGGAGCACACGCCTCCGCGGGCCCGATCCCCGGCCGCCCGCCCGCGCCTCTCACCATCCGCTCCGAAACTGGAGCCGAGATCTCCTCCGAGAGCTTGGCCAACCCCACGAGCGCGAAGAAGCCGCCCAGCAGTACACGCAGCACCGACAGCAAAAGCTCCATGGCCGCGCTCCCCGCACCGTGGGTTGGCCCCGCCGAAAACCCGCCTCTGCCGCCGGCTCATTTCCTCCCTCCCTGGGGCGGCCGGAAGACTCGCCTGAGCTACCATCCCCCACCCTCCAGGGGGTCGCGAGGCTGCAGCACTGGAGCAGGGCGCCCCCATCCTACAGGTGGGGACACTTGAGGACCACTGGCTCGTAACCGACTAAACCGACACCTTTGGATTCAGGGAGTGTTTCCCAGCCAGTACGGAGTGCTGGCAGACATGCATGGGTGTCTGGGTGCGGCTCAGCTACCATCAAAAGACCCCGGGGCTTCGTTCCTGCCTGTGCCATAGTAGCTGTGGGATCTGAGCTGTCACCCGACCCCAAAGGGTCTCGGTATCTGCATCTGTATACGGGGAAAACTCAGTTCTCCAGAGTTTGTAACAGGCCTAGCACAGTGCCTGCGCATGTAAGAGCTCAGAAAGTTATTTGTAAATTAGTAAATTAATTTATAAAATTATAATAAATCAAAAACCATTAATTATTAAATAAGTCTCTTTTCTATCTTTGCCTGAGGTGTCTTTTCCCTCTAATTTATCTCAGCTGAGACTGAAAGGTGAAAGGTGTTTGAAAATTCAGATACTTGCAGCCATGGATAGAGAGACTTTCACTGAACCAAGCCCTACAGTCCACTCCTGGCCCATTTGCTCTTACCTGGAAATCTGTCTAAAGCTGGGATGGGCAAACCATGGGCCAAATTTGCCCAGCTGTCTGATTTTTTTCCATGCTTCTCCCCTTCCCCCAAGCTAATAATGTTTGTTTACATTTTTATGATAAAAACTTTTTAAAGAAGCTTGTGTGACATAGGAAAATTATATGAAATTCCCATTTCAGTGCTCATGAATAAGTTTTATTTAAACACAGCCACACTCATCTGCATATTGTCTGTGGCTGCTTTTGCACTGCAACTGCAGAATTGAGTAGCTGTGACAGTATGGCCTGCAAAGCTGAAAATATTTACTATCTGGCTCTTTATTTAAAAAGTTTGCTAAGCTCTGGTATATTAGGCCAGAAAGCCCCCAAGCAGGGGTCTCAAACCCCCCTACTGCTTCCATTTATAGTTACCCAAGCTGCTTAGATCTGTCTTTTTCCAGCTGGGCATAGTGGCTCATACTTGTAATCCCAGCACTTTGGGAGGCCGAGGCAGGTGGATCACTTGAGGTCAGGAGTTCGAGACCAGCCTGACCAACATGGTAAAACCCCATCTCTACTAGAAAAATACAACAGACAGGTGTAATGGCACATGCCTTGTAACCCCAGCTACCCAGAAGGCCAAGGCAGGAGAATTGTTTGAACCCAGAAGGCAGAGGTTCCAGTGAGCCGAGATCACGCCATTGCACTCCAGCCTGGGCAACAAGAGCAAAACTCCATCTCAAAAAAAAAGAAAAAAAAAAAAAGATCCATCTTTTCCACCTACTCACAACCTTGCTGGGGTAAGTAGCTGGTTGGCTGGAAGACTGAAATGTTCCACTCGCTTCTAAAGGCCAAGCTGTTTCAACATTCAGGTTGTGCTGTTACATTATAAACTGGGCCTCTCATTACCTTCAGTCTTTGTCACTAATCCAAATTTAATGAAATAACTAAATTTTCTACCCTGGATTATAATTATACATAATTACTTATAAAAATCATAATTATTAAATTCCTCAACAAAAAGGGAAAAATTATTAAAACATTTAATCACTGAAAACACAAATCCACATTAGGAAATTATCTTTTAGGATACTTATACAAAACACAAGATTATTGACTTCGCTATTAAGCAATGTGCATATTGCTACTCTTTTTCCTTCATTAATTTTTCTATCCTTGGAATTAAAGATGTGACTGCAAGTCTTAGGGCAGGGCCAGAAACCAACAGATTTCTTTGTTTTGACTCAGTCAAAGCTGAAAAGGCAGCATCACATAAATAAACAGTTGAAAAGGGTAATAAAAATTTCATTGCCCTTTCATGGAGTTCTGGGTAACTTGTCTTTGCATTTATCCAAAACTGAGTTACAGACACTGATTTAAATACTGATTGTAATCCTAAATCTGAAGATAGCTGTGTTAGCTTTTCTTCTTCGAAGTCGGTGAGATTATTATTTTGGTGATTCATAAAAGGGTTAATTATCCACAAATTTCCTGAACGCAAGTCTTGTTCTGGTGGAAAACAGTCACTGAACACTTGAGAAAGTCCTTCCAGGTGCTCAAAAATAATCCTTGTGATCTCTGTCATATTTAAGCCTGATGAATTTGAGAATTCAGAAAATGAAGGGAACATGTCATAGTCATTCTCTTGTGTGCGCTTCAACCACATTTTTAACTTTCTCTTAAATACATCAATTTTATTACACAAATTGAAGAAAGTAGTCAAAGTTCCTTGGAGACTTAAATTTAATTCATTTATAAGTGAAAATATATCTGATAAGTAGGCCAGCTTTGCAACCCATTCCTCATCATGAAAATACTTGGTCAAATCTGAATGCTTTTGACTTAAAAATATTTCAATCTCATGTCGTAATTCAAATAATCTTTTTAACATTCTCCCTCTTGATATCCAACGTACTTCAGCATGAAGCGGTAAACTCACATGCTCAGATCCCATCTCTTCACACAAAATTGTTAACATACGTGAATTCAATGCATTGCTCTTTATAAAACTTAGAATTTGTGCTGACTGCAAAAGAATTTTATGTAAACATGGAGACAACTTTTCTGCCACTAAACGTTCACGGTGAATAAAACAATGTGTAAATGCTGCTGTATTCATGGCAACTTCTTGAATTTTTGCTTTTAAACCAGAATACCTGCCAGTCATGCTTGCAGCCCCATCGGTACAGAGACCAACACAATGTTTCCAATTCAGAGATTTACTATCAATATATTTATTTATTAGTTCAAATATTTCAAAACCAGTTATTCGAGTAGGCATTTCAATGCAAAATAATAATTCTTCTTTTACATCACGACAATCATAATCAATGAAACGAATATAGCACAAAAGAAGTGTGATATCTGAGATTTCTGATGACTCATCTATCTGCAGGGCAAACCACTTTGACTCTCTGACCTTTTGAATCAGCTGGTCTTCAATGTCTGCAGATAGTTCGTCAATCCTGTGTTGAATTGTAACATTAGAAAGTGGGATAGTTTTCATTTTGTCTCCAGCACTTGAACCCAAAACTTCTGAACACATTTCTACTAAATATGGTTTAATTAATTCTTCAGCAATGGAGAATGGCTTCTTGCTTGCAGCAGTTTGGAAAGCAATTAAATAAGAAGCTTTCACAAGTGACTTTTCAACTAGTAAACACTTTTTTATAGAACTATTTTGACATTCCATTTCTAGAGATTTTTGTTCAAAAAAATCTACTGGTTTGTTTTCTAATTCTGAATGTTTTGTCTTCAAATGATGAGAAAGATTTGCTGGCTTCATGTTTTCACTGGATAAGATCTCTCCACAAATGACACACTGTGGCCTTGGTGAACTTTCTTTTGATCCAGGACACATAATAAAACCAACTTTTAAATATTCTGTATCGTAAGTCTGGAAAAAACCTAATCTTTTTTTCTTTGAAGGTGGAGAATCAAGTTCTGCATCATTTTTTTCATTAGGCATAGGTAAATCTGAATGAAATATTTGAATCACTGTTATTTTCAAGAACAAATAAGCAATGTTCCTTATGTATCTCCCCACACATTTAAAATTCATATTTTGTTACTATTTCTATTTATCAAAAGAATGCACTGATAAAAGTTTAAGCACAAATCATAATATTTCCAGTGATGCCACTGACAACTGAATTTCTCCTTTGCCCAAAGCTTGATCACTAGCTATAATAAAACTGTAGGATGTGATACATGTACAAGTAATCCCAAGCACCCAATAGGTTATTGAAATGAGGGCGAAGACCACAGTACACATCAAATTAACAATAAACTTTTTGGCTGGGCACGGTGGCTCACACCTATAATCCCAGCACTTTGGGATGCCAAGGTGGGTGGATCACTTGAGCCCTGGTATTAGAGACCAGTCTGGGCAACATGGCAAAACTCCATCTCTTAAAAAAAAAAAAAAAATTGGCTGGGGGCAGTGGCACACACCTATACTTGGGTAGCTAAAGCAAGAGGATCACCTGAGCCCAGGAGGTTGAGGCCGCAGGGAGCCAGGATCACGCCACTGCACTCTTGAGACTGTGTCTCAAAAAACAAAAAAAAAAGAATAAATTTTTTATTGGTGAGTGACACTGGTATCAAAAAAATTTTTAAAGAAAAAGAAAAAAAAGGCAGGCATGAGGCTCACACCCATGCCTCATGGTGTAATCCCAGCACTTTGGGAGGCCAAGGTGGGCATATCACCTGAGGTCAGGAGTTCGAGACCAGCAAGGCCAACATGGTGAAACCCCCTCTCTACTAAAAACACAAAATTAGCCAGGCATGGTGGTATGTGCCTATAATCCCAGCCACTTGAGAGGCTGAGACAGGAGAATTGCTTGAACCCAGGAGGTGGAGGGTGCAGTGTGCTGAGATCACGCCATTGCACTCCAGCCTGGGAGACGAGAGCGAAACTCCATCTCAAAAAAAAGAAAGAAAAGGAAGAAAAAGAGAAAGAAAAATAATGTTTTACTTGAAACAATCCAGAAAAAAAAAATATTTAAAAAAGGTAACATTTCATTAATCTAGATGAAGAGTATACTAGTGTTGACTGTACTGTATACTCAACCTTTCTGAATTTTGATACTCAGTGTCAGCGAGGTTGTAGAGAAATGGATCCTCCTGAACACTGCTGGTTGGAGCATACATTGATGTGACTTTTCAGGAGGGCAATTTAGGCAACAGGTATCAAAAGCTTTAAGAATAGATGATAGGCCAGGCACAGTGGCTCATGCTTGTAATCCCAGCACTTTGGGAGGCTGAGGCAGGCGGATCATGAGGTCAGGAGTTTGAGACCAGCATGGCCAACACAGTGAAACCCGTCTCTACTAAAAATACAAAAAAAATTAGCTGGGCGTGGTCACGGGTGCCTGTAATCCCATCTACTTGGGAGGCTTGAGGCAGGAGAATCGCTTGAACCCGGGAGGTGGAGGCTGCAGTGAGCCGAGATCGCACCACTGCACTACAGCCTGGGCGACAGAGATAGACTCTGTCTCCAAAAAAAAAAAAAAATCGATGATAGTCTTTGAATCAATAATTCCACTGATTAGGATTTATCCTAAGGACATAATTAGGCAAGTGGACAAAGATCCATTAACATAGCTTAACCCAACATTGCTTATAATATAAATATCTAAATTTCCAATTTTACGGAGTTGGTTATATTATATACACTGAATTCTATTTTAAGAATCTCATACCCAGGTAACAAATCTGCACATGTACCCCCTGAATAAAATAAAATAAGATAAAATAAAATAAACATAATAAAATAAAAATTGGAAAAAAAGAATATCGATGTATATTTAAATTTACATTGATGTGGAATAATGTTTCCAATGCAATGTCAAATGAAAAAATAATTTCAATTGTTAGAAAACAATTCAAGATTTATTATTTTAAAAAAGATGGAGTTTCACTCTTGTTGCCCAGGTTGGAGCACAATGGCGCGATCTTGGCTCACAGCAACCTCTGCCTCCCAGGTTCAAGCGATTCTCCTGCCTCAGCCTCCTGAGTAGCTGGGATTACAGTCATGTGCCACCACGCCCAGCTAATTTTGTATTTTTAGTAGAGATGGGGTTTCACCATGTTGGTTAGGCTGGTCTCAAACTCCTGACCTCAGGTGATCCGCCCATGTTGGCCTCCCAAAGTGCTGGGACTATATGCATGAGTCACCGCGTCCGACCGACAATATTTAATCTAGAACTCAAAACGTAAGCACGCATGCGCGCGCACACACACACACATAGATGCCCACAGATCCTTCAGTACTCTCCATGTGTGAATGTTTTTTAATATAAATTCAAGTACAAAGAATGTATTGTTTTAATAGGAATATAAATTTCCTGAGGAAGGAAAACAGGATTCTTCTTGACTTCTACCAAAATAAAGGTACCCTACATAAAAACTTACTACTTGTTGACAGACTAAGCTTTTAAATACAGCGTATTCTATGAAGTAAAATTATTATTAAAAACAAAAATCAGGCCGGGGGCAGTGGCTCATGCCTGTAATCCCAGCACTTTGGGAGGTCGAGGCAGGCAGATCACCTGAGGTCAGGAGTTCAAAACCAGCCTGGTCAAAGTGATGAAACCCCGTCTCTACTAAAAATACAAAAATTAGCCAGATGGCTGGGCGCGGTGGCTCAAGCCTGTAATCCCAGCACTTTGGGAGGCTGAGACGGGCAGATCACGAGGTCAGGAGATCGAGAGCATCCTGGCTAACATGGTGAAACCCCGTCTCTACTAAAAAAATACAGAAAACTAGCCGGGCGAGGTAGTGGGCGCCTGTAGTCCCAGCTACTCGGGAGGCTGAGGCAGGAGAATGGCGTGAACCCGGGAGGCGGAGCTTGCAGTGAGCCGAGATTGCGCCACTGCACTCCAGCCTGGGCGACAGAGCGAGACTCTGTCTCAAAAAAAAAAAAAAATTAGCCAGGTGTGGCGGCAGGCACCTGTAATCCCAGCTGCTCAGGAGGCTGAGGCAGGAGAATCACTTGAACCCAGGAGTTATAGGGAGCCAAGATCGTGCTATTACACTCTAGCCTGGGCGACAAGAGCGAAACTCCATCTCAAAAAAAAAAAAAAAAATCAATGCTTTAGGCACAGTAGACTATTAAATCAATTGAAAATCTAAGGGTAGTTGGATTAAAAGTAATACTTTACAACTTTTTCAAATATAAGCTCAAACAATTTTCACGGTCATCAATACCTCAGATAAATTAGTTGTACTGTTAGCAACTGACAATTGAATTTGCAGTATTTAAAAAAAAACAGGTTAAATCATTAATGCTTTCAACTAAAACTATATGTTAGTAATTATAATAGCTTGTTATAATAGCTGGTTATTAGTGTTAATAATTATGAAAGCAATAAATTAAGTATTTAAAGTATGTGAGCCAAGAAAAGGAATGTTTTCACATTTAAGAATCTGTCAATTATTTTCTTTCCTTTTTTAAAAAACAGAAACAAACAAGCCAGAAAACAAGCTTTGTACATGGGAACACACAAGAATACATACCTGTCTGACATTCTTTGTGCTGTGTATGTGGTTTGCAAGAAGTGGCCTTGGTCTGTGTGACGGGTTTGCAAGATATGCCTTTGTTCTTTAAAAGCCTAGAAGGCTGGGAAGATTGGGAAGATGGAAATTTCATGGCATCTGCCTGTGTACTTTCCTAGTTAAAAGCAAATTCAGAAACCGCAGAAAGATTTTTTTTTAGTATCTTATCACTGACTATAATTGCTATCAATTGAAAGTTGATATACATCAGGAGAAATACAATTCCTCTGAAAGAGTGGTTGCAATAAAAAAGTCACCTTGGAAAATACACACAGATTCCTATTTCTCCCAATCAGCATTAGTTTAATTTACTGATTTTAAAAAATATTTATAAACTATAAATATATATTTATAAACTATAAATATATATTTATAAACTATAAATATAAAATTTATAAATATATGTTTTTAAAATAAGTATGATTAAAACAATGAAAACAATTGTTAATCTTGCTGATTAGGACAATTGGCTACTCAGAAAAATTAGATCCAACCTCAGACCATACACAAAAATACATTCCACATCAATTAAAGATCTCAGAAAAAAAAAAAGAAAAAAAAAAACCCAAAACTAAAGTCACTAGAGAACTTTCAAATAACCAGATCACAAAGTATAACCAGATCACAAAGTATTCTTTTCTTTTTTTTTTTTTTTTTTTGAGACAGAGTCTCACTCTGTCACCCAGGCTAGAGTACAGTGGCACAATCTTGGCTCACTGCAACCTTCGCCTCCCAGGTTCAAGCAATTCTTGTGCCTCAGCCTCCTGAGTAGCTGGGACCACAGGTGTGCGCCACCACGCCCAGCTAATTTTCTGTATTTTTAGTAGAGACAGTGTTTCACCATGTTGGCCAGGCTGGTCTTGAACTCCTGACCTCGTGATCCACCCACCTCGGCCTCCCAAACTGCTAGGATTACAGGCGTGAGCCACCGTGCCCGGCCGGGATCACAAAGTATTCTTAAATAAAACACAAAAGAGTCAATCAAAGTAGAAGGCTGATACATTTGAGTACCTCAAAATTTAAAACTGCTCAGATGATCCAGGATAATCTCCCTATTTTAAGGTTAGCTGATTAGTAACCCTAAAGCCATTTGCTACCTTAACTCACCTTTGCCACGTAATGTAATATATTCACAGATTCCGTGGACAAGGACATGGACATCTTTGGAGGGGGCTACTATTCTGCCTATCATAATAAAGCTCTTAAAAAGTAAATTTTTTTAATCAAAAATAAAAACTTCTATAAACAAAGGTCTTTACAAAACAAAGTTACAGGACAAACAACAGAGAGGAAGAATGTACTTAAAACATGTGTATTCACTCAGTATTTATTTCCTGAATGTTTACTACAAGCCAGGCACTGTTCTAAGCCCTGGAAATACAGCAGAAAACAAGACAAAGTTCTGCTCTTATGAGCCTTACATTCTAGAGGAAGGCACAAACAATAAACAAGTAAAACAAATAATATATAATTCTAGGTAGTGATAAGTGCAATGAAGAAAATAAAGCAGCATACAGGAATGGAGAGTGATGGCATGGAGGAGGGGCAATTTCAAAGTAAACATCTGAGCAGAGATCTTTTGAATTATTCAAAAGAGTAAGCCATGCAAAGGCCTAAGGTCAGAAGAGTTCAGGCAGGAAGACTATAGGTGCAAAAACCCTGAAGTGGGAGAAAGCTTGGCATGCTTTAGAAACATCAACAAGAACAAGGCTGAAAGACAGTAAGCAGCGGGAGAATGATACATTTGGAGAAGTAGGCAGAAACTAAATTGTATAGGATCTGGAAGGTCTCAGTTAAAAACAAAATTACGATTTTATTTTAAATGTTGATGGGAAGCCATTGGAGGTTATATTTAAATTTACTTTAAACAGAAGTAATACATGAACTCAGTGCAAAATTCAAAAGGTATGGAAGTACTGCGTTGGTGCAAAAATAACTGTCGTTTTTGCAATTAAATATATACACGAATGACTGCCATCTACCCAGACTCAATCTTGAACACAACCACTGTTCCCAGTTTCTTATACAGTTGTTCTCCCTTATCTGCTGGGAATATGTTCCAAGACCCCCAGTGGTTGCCTGAAACCATGGATCATACCGAACCCTATATATACACACACATATGTATATATGTGTATATATGTATACATATATGGATATATACATATATCCATAATATATCCATATATGATATATACATATCCATAATATGTATTATGGATATATGTATATATACATATATATGCATAAGATATATGTATATATACATATGTATACATACTGTCTCTTATACACATCTAGATGTGTATAAGAGACAGGATATATTATACATATGTGTATATGTATATATATGTATACATATATACACACACAGATATGTATGTGTGTATATATAATTCCAGGTAGTGATAAGTGCTAAGTGTGATATATAGACACACATATATGTATATAGGGTTTAGTATGATCCATGGTTTCAGGCAACCACTATGTTGCCTGAAATATGTATACAGGGTTGTATATACATATACAATATATGTATATGTATATATGTTGTATATGTATATACATATACATACACATATGTATATGTGTATACATGTACATACACATACATATATGTATATGCAACATATAGGCAACATATATGTATATATGTTGTATATAGGGTTCTATACACACTATATTTTTATACATATATACCTATGATAGTTTTATTTATAAATTAGGCATAGTAAGAGGTTAACAGTAACTACTAACGAAATAGAAAAATTATAATATACTGTAATAAAAGTTACGCGAATGTACTCTCTCTCAAAACATCTTAATGTGCTGTACTCATCCTTCTTGTGACCTGATAACTGAGATGGCTACTGACTAGTGATGGGTAGTATACACAGTGTGGATATGCTAGACAAAGAGATGATTTACATCCCAAGTAGAATGGCATGATATTTCATCGTGCTACTCAGAATGGCACACAATTTAAAACTTATGAATTATTTCTGGAATTTTCCATTTCATATTTTCAAGCCACAGATAAGCGGTACTACTATTTATCCTAGAGATGGTCTATGTAATTAAACAAAGTTGCTTCTGACTACAAAGTGTAGCCTATTATTATCAAGATTCAGAATCTTGCTCTTGTCACTTAGTAAACTATCTTCAAGGTCCATTTACACAACATTGTATAAATAACAGCTTGCATAGTATTCCATTATTAAATGTACCAAAAGTAATCTGAAGAATCCCTGATGAACATATCTAGGATGTTATAAACCTTTTACTGTTATAAACAATGCTACAATGAGTATGTTTAGACCTAAATTAATTCTACATGTGCTAGTTTATCTACAGAATAAAGTCTTAGAAGTGTTGTTGGTGGGTCCCGAAGACATAATGTTAATTCTGATGGTACTGCCACATTGCTCTCCATAGACCTTACATCAAATTATGTGACCATTCTCAACAGATGTGGGCCTTTCCCAGTATCCTAGTCAATAGAGTATTGCCAAACATTTTATTTCTCAATACGTGAAAAATTATTTTACTTTAGTGTAGTTAGGTATTTTTCACGTGTAAGCATTATTTGTAGTCCCTCTTCTGTGAACTCTCAATTCATATTAATTACCATTTTCCTTTATCTTTTCAAAAAAAATTCTACGCATGTTTAACAGATGTGCCAAAAAATTCAAAGATTCAAATAACACACAATGAAAAAATAATTTTCCCTTTTAAAATTCTCCCCTAGTGATTCAATTATCCTTAGAGGCAACCACTATTACCCATTTATTAGTTGTCTTCCAGGGATAGTCTACACATATATATAAGTGTGTGTGTGTAGCACAAATGGCACCATGTTACACAATTTTGTGTCTTTTTTCACTTATGATATTTGAGACTCCTCTATGTATGCATATACTGAGCTGCCACATTCTTTTTTAACAACTGTGTAATATTCCATTGTTAGGGATATATACTTTGTTCAGTTTTAACTACAGCCTCAACAAGGCCACTATGTATGCCTGGACAGCAACTCCACGTGCCAGGCCATATAAATAGGTGTGAAATTCAAAAAGGGTACATTTCAGACCCTGCCCATGTAGAGCTATTTTTTTCTAATTCACACAATAACTCAAGAGTGAATACACCACGGCCCTGACCACTGGTGAAATAATTAGGTTGTTTTCAAGCTTCTGCTACTACAAACAATGCTATGATTAAAATCCTTGTACATGCTTCATTTCATAAATGTACAAAATGTATCTGAAAGATAAATTCCTAAAAATGGAGTTCCTGGGTAAATGGTAGTTAAAATTTTAACAGGTTCTACTAAATTGCCCTCTGCAGCACTTTTATCAATTTACACTTCTACTGGCAATAAGAATACCTTAGCAGAGTTACCCATCATTTTTCTTTGCCAATCTGATTAAACCATAGTTCTAACCAGCATTTCTCTCATTTTGAAGTTAAATATCTTTGCATATGTTACTTTTGCCCACTTTCCTACCTGCATTTAAAATGATTCACAGAAGCTCCTTGGGGATTTTTTGTTTTTGTTTTTGTTTTTTGAGACAGTCTCGCTCTGTCACCCAGACTCAAGTGCAGTGGCGTGATCTCAGCTCACTGCAACCTCTGCATCCCGGGATCAAGCAATTACCACCAGTGCCTTAGCCACCTGAGTGGCTGGGATTACAGGCGTGCGCCAACACACCCAACTAATTTTTGTATTTTTAGTAGAGACAGGGTTTCGCCATGTTGGCCAGGCTGGTCCTGAACTCCTGCCCTGAGGAGATTTGCCCACCTCGGCCTCCCAAAGTGTTGGGATTACAGGCATGAGCCGCCGCACCTGGCCCATAGAAGCTCTTTACTATTTAAAAAAACTAGATTTTTGTAACATGAGTTGTATGTAACCTTTTCATTTTGTCATTTGTCTTTCGATTTTGAAATATGGTTGAATTTCCCCATTGATTCTTTTACGGCTTCTGGGTTTTGTGACATATTTAGAAAGACTTCTACACTGTTAAAATTTTTTCCTATATTTTTCTGACTACATACTTACAATTTCTTAGGTCTTTCTCCATCTGAACTTTATTTTGGTCTAAATTGTGAGGTACA